AATTACGGCCCAGTTCTCTTTCACCTGAAATAACAGGGCCTAAAGAATAATAAGCTGGTCCATTACTAGGTTTGAAATCAATGGAAACTAGATTTTTGATCTGCCCTTAGTATTTTTGTTATTTTATCTACAAATATATAAAAAAAAATCTTTTATTTTGTGGATATAAAATATTTTATGATCAAAATCAAGTTTCAATTATGCGGGTATGAAAAAAAAATTTAAAAATGCAAATACTTTTTTGTTGATCGTAAAACTAAATATTAAATGAATTTATAACTATTATTATATATCTTAAATTTTATAACTATTATTATATATCTATAATTTTTAAGAATTGTTCTATTATTATTCTTTCAGTTTGGTATAATGTTTTCATTGAATTTTCATATCCGAGTGAGACTTATTGATCCATTTGTTGACATATTAATAAATATTTGACTTGGATAAAAATAAATATTTTTGTACATAAAATTTGATCACAAATTTGCGTTATTTGTAAGTTGTCAAAATCTGTTCGAAGATTAAGATCATGTATCGATACTATTAAATTTTTTTAATAAATTTATTTATAAGTATATTAACTATCAAACTACATAAATATAGAACAAATTATTACTCATTTACTTTTAAATTTTTATTAATAGTATCTATTCTAAAAATCTTCTTAAAGAAACATTTTGAGAAAAATTTATTATTATTAGAAATCTACATTATTTTTAATTTACAAAGACAAATGTGTGAGAATTATAGCATATTCTTAATAATGATTTCTTGGCTTTTATTATTTATAACTTATGATAATAAATTTATTGGCATGAGTCAAAATTTAATAGTATAGATTAAAAATGTTTTATGCATAAATTTGAAATCATTAATGATTTATATGGTCATATTTATTTTCTCTTCCAGTATTTTTAATCACTATTTATTTTATTATTATAAATTTCAGGTTTTTATCACGAAAATACTTTTATTATGGATTTTGATTGATCTGAATAACAAAATGTTTTTATTTTTGATTGATAAAAATATAAATAAAGAAAAAATGAATAAGATACTTTTTAATCCATATTTATTTTATTATTATAATTTTCAGATTTTTATCACGAAAATATTTTTATTATGGATTTTGATTGATCTGAATAACAAAATGTTTATTGATAAAAATATAAATAAATAAAAACTGAATAAGATATTGGCTCATTAATCAAACCAATTAAATAAATATTGAGATATACTTAATTATATAGTTTTAGGCCCAAAAAATAAAATACAATAATACCATTAATGAAAATTTTAATTTGTTCATAATATTAAAGGTAATTTTGGAAAATGTAAATATTTCATTAAATGGAATGATCCTTTTTTAATGGTATTGATAAATGAATAATAAAACAATCAATTAGTAGGCTTCAAGTTGGATGAGAAAAAATAGCATAAATCTTCAGAAGTTAGTTTAACCTACCTCTAGTATTTACTCTCTCCGATTTAGTTTACATAGAAAAAAAGTCGTTGAAAAATCAGTGTCGTTTTATAATTTGATGCAAAATTTATTAATGTTATCTATTTTTATTATTTTATTGGTTGAAATGTGATTAGATGTATAGATAATTGTGTATTTATTTTAAAATTTATAAAATTAAATATTTTATTAATCTGTATGCAAAAACCTAAAAGGACAACTAAAATGAAACATAAAGAGTATTTATTTATAATCTAAGATCTTGAGTGTTAAAAAGAACAAGGTCTCAACGAACCTTCTGAATTTCATTATCATTTGGGCGAAAAATAAAGCCTCATCAAAAGACTTTTGCTATATCTTCTTATATATGTATTATTAGGAATTGTCATTTTATCCATTAAATTTGATTCGATTCGTTATTCAATTCGATTTGAAAAAATCATATATTCGTAAATTCAGAGCAAAGCACATACTAAGAAAATCAATATGTGTATGAAACAAATCATAAATACTAAAAAAATAGAAACGGATATATGCTTCGCGTCATCTTTTATACATCTAGATATATATTTATAATTAAATATAAAGTTTTATGAAACATATAGTTTCATTAATTTTAGAAAACAAACTTATTTTTTTTAGATTTACTTGTATTGAATAAACTGGATAAGATCCAAAAATATTCGTAAATAGTAAAGTTTTCTAATATCCATAAAATCGGATATCCGTATGTTTACGAATCAATACAAATCGAAAAATCATATATTCATGAAAAGTGCGAAGCAAATCACAAGTATTGAAAATTATGGTACTATTCGATCCATTATGATATTTCTACGTTTAATATTATTCTTATACGTTTGACATTTGGTGGTTACACATCAATTCTATTTTCTGTTTGTTTTTAGTTCATAAATCAAAGTCATAAATATATATATTTTTGTTCAATCTAAGGACATGTACATTAGTGAACCCCCTTTTGGGTTTAAGATTTTATTTTTTATTATTAATTTTTTTTAAAAAAAAATAGGTGAACTAATCGTGGACTGCCACGTGATGTGAAGCCCACGACATAGTAATGATATGGGTTCATGGCAGAGATCCCCTACGACCTGGGTTCATAACTTTTGCAATATTTTATATATACTTTTTTTTGGTAAGAATGTGAATCCCTGCCCCTCATCAACTTTTGATGGGGTTCTCTAAGAGAAATTCTTGGGTTCACCCTCTAGGGTGAACCTCTAAGTTCACCAATCAATAAAATTTCATTGTTTTATATTTAGTATCTTTTAAAAAGGGAAATAAAATATTATCGAGTTATATTATGTTTATAAATTAAAAGATAAAAATATATAAAAACTAATAATAGTTACAAATAAAAAACGTTCTTAAGAAAATATTTGTAGTAACACCAGCAAAACCCCAAAACCCTAAATCCTAAACCCTAAACCATTAGGTAAATCCCCAACCCTTGGATTAATCTTAAACCCTATGATTTATGATTAATCCAAGGGTTTAGAGTTTACCTAAGGATTTTGGGTTTAGGATTTAAGGTTTATGGTTTAGGATTTAGGGTTTAGTGTTTTGCTGTCAGTATCAAAAATATTTTTTACAAAATCAAAGATTTATCCAAGGGTTTAGGGTTTATCCAAGGGTTTAGGGTTAGGGTTTAGTGTTTTGCTGATGGTGTTAAAAATATTTTTTTAAAGTTTTTTGTTTTCAACTACTATTATTTTTTTATTTTTTTATTATTTTCTTTTAAAAACATAATATAATTTAATAATATTTTATTTCTTTTTTTAAAAGATATCGAATATAAAACAATGAAATTCTATTGGTTGATGAACCTCTAGGTTCATTCTAGGGGGTGAACCCAAGAATTATTCATTCTCTAACGGTCACAATTCACACCTTTGCATGAATATACTTTTCTCCAGCAACTAAATATTTCCTAAACTACCGTCCTTTCTAAAATTAAATCACAAAATTTCCTAACTTTTCTTTAACACGAGGTATATTGTTTAAGGTAAACCCAATAATCATGTCCCTCTTCTTGTAAACAATATGTCTTTTTAACATAATAAATATAAAACTAACTGAAAAGGAAACAGCAATACACAATATACAATCATCACGAACTAACGTAGATGAGAATTGATAGAGCCTCTCGTTTTCATGGACCTATTAATGTTTTGTCTTTTTCAACAAGGCTAAAACTAAAGCTGAAGTTGAAGTGCGATTTGAAAAGATTTTTTGTTTATTTTCTAGTAAAAGAGAGCAAATTGTTCACGACTCTAACTAGTTGTCACCTCTACAGAATCATGATGATATCCCGCCACAATTTTTTTTTGTATTTGATTCATTGGAAGTTATTCTAGCTTAGTAGAAATCATAATTAACCACCATGTTCGTATTATCGCATAACACGTATGTCCAGCAGTTTGCCAAGAGAAATGATGTGTAGATAACCAAATGAAATGTGGTTGTT